CGCCGCCCCGGCCCCCGCACCCACGGCTTGCGGCAGTGGGCAGCTGTCAGGAGCCATCTGGGGGCGATGAGGGTCGCCCCGCAGAGCAGCCGGGTCTTCTGGAACAGAGCCACCTGCCAGGGCTGGGAGTGAGGGGCGCACTCGTACCCCTTGATGATCCTGGTCTCTGCTCCTACCTGCCCTGGAGGGTGGGGCAGAGTGAGGGCGCAGGCCAGAGAGGACTCCCTGACCCGAGGGGAAGGGGTTGGGGGGGTCAGGGGGGCCTGGTGCTGCACTGGGGTGCACCGAGCGGCCGGCCGGCCGGCGGCCCCGCGGGCCAGCAGCCCCTGTCCGGAGCCCTGGGTGACCCCAGCCACCCCAGCAGCCCTGGGCCTCCCTGCGCCCCCATTGCCACACCCAGCCCCTCAGCGCCTGCAGAGACCCCGGGGGCACTGTGCGTTTTCAGCTCTGTCCCAGCCTAGACATAGAGGGTGTCCTGGAGACTCGCGCGAGGCCCCCGCCCTGCCGCCCCCGCCTACCTGTGACCAGGGCTATCACGATCAGCCGCACCACCGTCATGGCCTGCAGCGGGCGGGCGGGCCCCTGGTTCTCCTGGGGACAAGGAGGGACACGGTCACGCTGAGAGGGGGGCTGCTCCCTGCGTGCGCCTCCCTGCCTGGCTCTGCCCCCAGAGAAAGCACACAGCCGTGAGAGCCCCTGGGGCCACAGCACCTCGGAGCACCCATGCAGAGGTGGCCTTGGAGGGGCCTGGCCCGGCCAGGACCGGCTTTGGTCCCCAAGGAGACAGAGAACTTGCTGGAAGGGCTTTGCAGCGGCCTGGCTGGCCCCGGCTCGGCCTCCGAGGCTTGTTTTGGAGAATGCTGTTCTCGGGCCCCAGCCCAGGGGCCCAAGCAGCTGTGGCAGAAGCACGAGGGCACCACCCAGCCGTCGGCACCGGGGCTGCCCAGGCGGAAAGGGGGCCAGCCAGGGACCCTGCCCAGCGCCTGCCCGGCTGCACCCCTGCCCCTTGGAAGGGCAGCCATACCGCTGGGCGGAGCTGGGGGGGGCGGTCCCCTCAGTGCCCTGGTCAGCGGGGGCGGAGGCCTGGCCCCTGCACCCCAAGCTGGAGCAGAGAGCCCTGAGGCCGGGGGCAGCAGGCCGGAGACCGGAGGAGGCAGAGTCCCTCCCCGCCAGGCCTCGGACAGAGCAGGAGGGGACGGAGCCGGGCCCGGAGCCGGGGCCTTGCGGGGCGCAGATGCTGCCGCTGCCCTTCCTCCCCTCCTGGACTCACGGCTGGGGCTGGGGCTGGGGGCCGGCAGTGGTGGCAGCTGCGGCG